TGAAATGTGGTCACTGGTCTGAAACAGAAAATCTGCCAGTGCATGATGATCTCTAGACATACGTTTTGTTAGAGGCTGGATGGGTCACCCTGCCTTTTACTGCGGTTGCTTGATATTTCCCATGATATGATCTTCCTTTGAGTAACTTTCATCTTTGCCAAAGACCATAGAAATTTTCTATGTTGGGTGTACACTGCATGATGAATTTATATATATGCACATATTTATGCAGAAAATAAACTACCACTTCTAAGAAGGAATATGGAGAAAAACATGGTGTTCTTCCCATGCTAAAAATTTCAACTGACCTTTTATTTGGAAAAACATAGGTCATCTCTCCCCATCTTGAAATCTGACAGCTTTTATTAATTTGTGGCCTTTATTCAAGGTTGCGCCTTTTATCATTCCTTTGAGATGGTCCCCAAACTTGCCATCATGCAAGGAATTGGAAAATTATGGCTCTCAAGAGCTCTGTAGGAGTATTTTAAAGCTGTGTGGGCTACAAAGTCATCATCTCTTGTGTTCTCAGTGTTTGACCCACAGAATCATGACTTCTTCCCTGGGCTATGACACAAGAAAGTCCCTCTACCTTAGGACATTCCACAACTTTGGAATGAGGACACTAGCATGAGAGGTAGGAGAATAGGAGGTGTAAATCCTATTAAGGAAAGTAAAGCACAGGCACCTGTACACATATATATACACATATGAAAGTAGGCACTTCTTTTGCAGCTAAATTTTGAAATTAACGATGGCATTTTGGGTGAAGTCGGATGCTGTTGTTGATGGCAGAATATATGCACAACACTTTTGTGACTGAGCCTCTCAGAGGATGTGGGGATGGAAAACATTTCTAGTTCCTGTTCTAGTGTAAGAGTCAGATACATGCTGAACTTTTCAGAACTGCTGACATGTGGTAGTTTTGGGATAGCAGATGCAACTCCTGGCACTTAGGAAACTTTAGAATAAAAAAACCTACATATGGAGTTTAGAGATTGTGCTTAGGCTCTGCCTAACTTTTCCTTCAAGAGACAGTCTTTCTTTGGATTGTAAATTTCCTGAAGATTCACCCTGCATGGAGTTGACCCCAGGCAACCCGTTTCTACTGCTCAGTCCTCTGTGACACAGAGCCACCAACTCCACTCTTCCACCAAAGCCATCTTCAGTGGAAGACTAATAGTTTTTTATGGTGCAGGAATGCGTTCCCAAGGTCATGAACATTCCCCTGTTTCAGCAGTAGACTGAGCCAAGATCTCAAAGGGCAACTACTTCATGACCAGGCATCTACCCCAGATGATCCACCCCAGGGTCTTCCTAATATGTATGATGGATTTCTACAATCAGCTTAAAAAGTGCCAGAGACTTGTTTGTAAGCAGTACAAGAAGGGCTACCAAGAACTTGTCTAGATAAGAGTTATCATAATAGAGCTGGATTATCATAATGGGCTGCTGCAGCTGTTGTGAAAACGGACACTGTGGATCCTGCAGTGAGAAATATGATGGCAAAGTTAATGAATAATTCAATCTTTATGGCAAAGTTTTGAATGACATACAGTAAATGCACTCTGAAAGCACACAATGACCAATGCATATAAAACAATATAGTAAGTACTTGCTATTTAGATTGATAACTTCCTACTTGAGTGACAAAATATTTCTGCTGAAAAAACAGCACATAATCACATAAGAAAAGGTAGAGCAAAATCAGTCTAATATATTGCTTTTCCTAACTTTGGTCATTTGACCTTGCAACTTCAAAGCTGTTTCTTAAATATTATTTAATTCTCTTAGTTTTCAAACATTGTTTTATACTTCTTTTGTCTTCTGTTGTTTCCACTTCCTAGGTGTTGATTTCCTTGCTCCATTGCAGTGCTGAGTCTTCTTGGAGTGAGTACTGTCTTTTAAATAAGTGTCTGCGTGGCATTTAGCACAGGGGGCAACTGAATCTGATCCCAAACACATAATTTTTGTACCTTGTTTGGGTCACCTCACATCTGCTCATGTGATTTGTCTGGCCAAACGCATACGTAGTTTCTGTGCAGTTAGAGATCGATTTGAAAATCAGCCAAAAGACTAGACAGCACATCAGATATGATAGATCAAGAGTTCAAAGAAGGCCATAACCCAGAATTGCTGCTGATGATCCACTTTTGGAAACCTGATCCATTCATTGCTCCGTGAAAGACTGTTGCTTGCCAGAGGCTAAAGGGATAGTAAATTTATTTACTGGGAAGGATCGAGGAAAAAAAAAGGAAACCAATGTATTGTGTCTCATATTGACAGAAGGGAGTTTACTTAGTGAAAATGAATCACAGTCTAAGGAAACTACTAACATGCTTCACTGCATGTCACAGTGAATAAAGTATACAAATAGGCCTGTGGCTGAGAAAATAAACAAACAAAACTTACTGAGAGTAGCAACTATGAAGGCTTTGGCCTGGGATGTGAGAATTTCTTACATGTTTGTTAGAAACTGCATCTATAGCAATAACCAAATTCAAAAATAAGGCAGGAGAAGAGAGAAAACCGGAGCCAGAGTTAACTAGCAAAAGGACTGAAATTTGAGATAAAGTAGTACTATTTTCCAAAATACATTATTTTGAGAACTCTTTTGGTCTCAGACAACATTGGAATTCATGTTAGTAATGAAAGGAAGATAAAAGACACAATAATGCTTGCAGTGGTTTACCACTGCAAGATATGTTAAGAAGATGTTGGTAAGCATTAATGTTTGCATATGGTATCTGCTATGAAGGTCAATGAAGAGAATATCAACCAAGGAATGACTGAGTGAACAGCATTTGAAGGAGAGAAGTGAAGATGCAAGACATGTAGGTTTGGGACTACAGGGAGAAGTGATCACAAAGAGATGATAATTTTGATCCAGCACCCACTGAAGTCAGTGGAAATGTTACTATTGCCTGGTCCTTGGCCTGGGGTATAATAAATGTGATCAGCAGGAGCTGTAAGCCTAATGCACAATGAAAGACAGACAATAGTGAACAAGAGTTGAGAAAACACTAGCAGCTCCATGAGAAGTTTCATTATTGGTATGTACTGCTGTCAAAGTAAGGCAAGATTTTACTCATGCACTATCCTTGCACTTTCCGCCCACATGGAGATCAGTTTAGGTGTATAGCTCTTCTAGTTATTGCTGATGCACACTGCCTATGAGCACACATATGAGTTCTTGGAGGCTTTTTTGGCTTTCACATTGTGATGTGGTTGTGATTTTTAACAGCAAGTGCGATGCACTTCAGCATGACAGAAGACTGACATCTGACTATGAAGTGATGATGTGGATATTTTCCTGATGATTATTTAATCAAACAGGAGAACTGAGAGTGTCAAACAAGCACCAGCAATTTATCAAGAGCCAGTTGTAGAAGAAAGCATTCTCTGAATCATCAGTATGATAATTACCACTGACATTTCCCCAGGGGAAACTGCATTTTTAATTGTTACAAATATAATCACACTTCTACAGAGAAGTGGGAACAGAATCCTTTCAAGGCCATTTCTGGAAATAGAAATGTCTAAAATTTCCACGTGGAAAAAATTTGTGATAAGAAATTATTTGGTACACCAGAATAAATACGTCATTGTAAATGTTAACTAAAATACCGGCTACTGTACTCTAATTTCCAGAAGAAAATACATTTAATAAGAATCTTTGGGTCAAGTCCTGACCCTGCTGCAACTGCAGCTTCCTTAGCTGGGCTGAAGTTGTCTTGAGTTTCTACGGTGAGGAGAGGAAAGTCTATGTGATTGTGCAAGCTGAGCAAGAGCTATCTCCAGCTCCACCACCCCTACTTGTGGGCACAGAGAAGGCCACCTTCATGGTAACCTAAGGAAGGACTGCTTGAATAAAATGCCTCTCAGGGCAAAATGTGACTCGACTTACCCACTCACAGTGAGCAGGCTGTAAGCAGCACCTCTCAGGCTGATCTAGAACACATAGCCAAAGGGACCACTAGGGCTGGTTCTCTCTCACAGCAGGCCTTACATGACCATTCACATGCAACCACTCTAAGGTGTTTTTTTTCAAGGGGCAGATGAGAGCAAATCAGATAGTTTTTGCTTCCCCTCGGCTCCCTATTGCAAACAAAACCCCTTAGTTACTCATATTCCCCATTTCAATTTTTCAGGTGTCTAAACTGTGAGACAAGGTGCTAGGAAATGTCTGAATTTCCTGACAGGATGCTAGGAGAATGAAGGTCTTCAGCACAGACACTACCTTTTCAGGTGATAAGGCTGGCTATCGCTTGTAGTCTACTGAAATGAACTGAGCCTATAAAGTATTTGGCCACTACTTGCCAACTACAGCATTGTCTTTAATATATAAGGTAGTGGTGCTGGTTGAGGAAAAGAGAGGTAAGTTTTGTGAGAATAGTCTTTTAAGTGGACCAGCTGATGTGGCTGGAAAAAAATTGAATTTTTGTCAGAGCAGCAAAGCCTTTGTTCTGCCAGCTGACGCAATTTACAAAAATCTCTTAAATTAAGGATTATAACAGATGTTTTAGGTTCTCTGCAGGCACAGAACAACAATACTGGGTAGGGGAAGGCTATTTAGTCCCTCCCTAGTAGTGTGTACTCTGTCATACTACATCAGCACCATCTTGGAATGCCCAGCCCTCCCATTTCTCCTTCCACTTATTCAGGTGCTGTGCCTATCCCTGTAGCATGCAGGTCACAGTCAGGCTGTTTTAACTAAACTCTGAGTTATAGAAAGTTGCAGCCTTGCTGTTCACAGTTGTTGATTTAGCTAGCAGATGCTGAACATCAGCAGATAATACAATCTGGTGAGTGATCTACACAATTTAGGATTTCAGCCTGCAAACTTATGAGGAAAAAAACCCAACTAAAACTGTTCAGATAAGAACTATTTGGTTCTACTCCTTTTCCATTAAGGACCTTAGCCCTTCTTCAATTGAAATCAATGGAAATTCAACTCTAGGTTAAGCAGACACTACTCAGTTACATGGACAGACCTGTGCCAATTTAGCTTGGGTTGCGTTTATTCTATTAGATTGCCCTTCATAGCTGAATCCAAAAGGGATGTTTTTGTCCTGTGGAAAAAAAGAGAACACAGAGAAGAGAATCAAACCGTAACAAAATGTGAAAATATACTATCCAATCACTTCCTTAACTGAACAGTTAACTAATTACAGTAAGATTTTTTTAAAGTTTTATATTATTGAACATAATAAAAAAAATTTGAAAAAGTGCTGAATTTGCACATATTTTTACTCTGAATGTGCATACAGTTGGAGACTGCATGTGCAAATAATTGATTTGCTATATTTTTGCATATCCACTTTTTCCACGCAACTATCTTGGACACTGTACACAAAATTCAGGTTAGTTAGGAAAAAATCCCCAACCAGCCCAAACCCACAACCAACCCCCCCAAAACCCCAAACCAAATAAACAAAACACCCTCCTCCCCCTGACCCAAATCAGATATCTCCTTTTATGGAGCTGTGTATGAATAGAACTTAACCTTCTTTCAGATCTGTTTCATGACATTGACTACCACCAGAGTCCCTTGAATGATGGGTTCTACCCATCACTCAAGGCTGTTCCACCCTCTTTCCCCCACCCACCATCTCACTCATTGCTGTGAAGCCATATGGAGCTTTCTAACTCCAACTTTAGCTTCTGTGACCTTGTGTTTGCTGCGGGTCTGACAGCAGGCATCGGCTTATGCTAGCAGTAACTGGGGTTTCCAGCCCAAGCGCTTCACAGACCTGAGTCTTAGCTGTCAAGATGAAACATGACCAGGTGAATTCATCTTGTTATGGTCAAATCCTTCTGCTTACTTTAACCTGTATGGAAAAGTTACAGTTTGCAAGATAGGTATTCGAAGTGAGGCCAGTATTTCAAAGGGCTCACTGCATGCAAAGGTATACAGATGGTGTTAAATCTCTGCAGTAATGCATGCTATTTGATTTTCACAGACTAGGAAAAGCATAGAGTACTTTCAAGTATAAAAATAATTTTACAAGGTCAAAGTGTTGTAGAGAAAAATTATTTAAAAAAATCCCCAAACCCTGAAGAATTTGTCAGGAATTTTCTCACTTCAGACTTAGAATATATTCCCATTTCATACAACCACTTTTTCCTCAGTGTCTCAACATCTTGCTTCCAGTGTAAAGTTGGAGATCTAAGAGATCATTTTCCTATGGAAAAAAATTATAAAAATTCACTAAGTGCTTCATGATGTCAGTTAATTTGACTGATCGCTCTTGATGTGATTTGGCACATCAGAGCAGTGTGATTCATGAGCTAAGAGGGAAGGACTTCGTAGCAATTTGTCCCCAACTTATAATGTGACATCAATGCTTCTTGAAAGCTAATTCCACATACAATAGGCATTCCATTTTCTAAAGATACATCTTCATTTATATTGTTCCACCTAATATTCCTTACTAAGCCTTTAGATTTTGGTCTGCTTAAGATTAAACCTTTTTTTTTTTTTAATTATGGGCATTTATCTCTCATCAGAGAAGATAAGCGTACCTTAGGAGAGACATGAGAGAAAGATTTGTGAGACCTAACAGATTTGTACAAGAGAATCATGACAGGTATTTCATAATGGAAAGATCCTCAGAAAGATGATTCTTTATCATACAGATGAGTTTGCTACCTTAGCAGATGTTCACCTTTTAAATAAAAATAAGCTTTTAAGAGATCCTCGGAAATGTCACAGTTATCCCCATTACTAAAAGATATCTTGATTTACACTATTACAGTTGTTGAAACATTCTTAAGCAATAGGTTCTGAAAGCTGTACTTTACCTGCCCTGCAAGACATTTAATTAATTCCATACTTTCATTGTAGACACTGCAATTAAAATAATTCTTGACTACCTCATGGAATTTTAAACATTTTGAAGAAATGAATTCAGTACAAGATAGTGTGTGTACAGTTCTGCAACTTGGTCTCCCAGCTGTCCAATAAATTGCTGGGAGAAACAATTAGTGTAGAGTCATTTGTTAGAGAATGAACCAAAAATGCATCTAAAAATGCCAGTACTAAATGTGCTGACAATTAAGAGCAAATTACTTAGCAAAGATGCCATGTGTTCATATGTTGCTTCAACTACATGCATTTGGTGTCTAGCACCACATTTTTGCTTAAGACATAATTACACATTTTGTTCAATTTTGTATCTTTACTAGAATAAGGTGATATGATGCCAACACTTTTTAGGCAGGGTTCCCCAGTGATTCGAGTTATCACAGTACCTTTTCATTCCAAGGGCAAAAGTGTTTTCAATTAAATGGGAGGAAGGTTTACTAATTAATTTTGATTATTTTTCCCTTGCCCCACAGAAAGTTTTATAGGGCAACAGAAAGAGAAACAGAAATGACTTGATGTGGAATTGATGTTACATGAAAAGATCTCTCAGTGGAAACTATAAGACTCTCATTACCCGAACAACTAAAAACTAGATGAGATAAAGCATTTAGTAACCCTTTGCAGAAGACATTGTTGCATTCATTGGGAATTTTAGGATGACCTACAGGCTTTCAAAGTGGGTCCAGAAGATGGCAACAAAGATGATTAAGGGACTGGAGCATCTCTCTTATGAGGAAAGGCTGAGGGAGCTGGGCCTGTTCAGCCTTGAGAAGAGATGACTGAGAGGGGACCTTATTTATGTATATAGGTATCTGAAGGAAGGGTGTCAAGAGGATGGGGCCAAGCAATAGCACAAGAGTTAACAGGCAGAAACTGATGTACAGGAAGTTCTACCTGAATATGAGGAAGAACTTCTTTACTGTGAGGTTTACCATGCACTGGAATAGATTGCCCAGAGAGGTTGTGGAGTCTCCCTCATGGGTGATATTCAAGAACCACCTGGAAGCAATCCCATGACATGTGCTCCAGGATGACCCTGCTTGAGCAGGGAGGTTGAACCAGATGACCCACTGGATCCCTTCCAGCCTTACCCATTCTGTGATTCTCTGTGATTCTATTTTAGATAACAATAAATGAAAACTACTGTATCATGCACATAAGACTGTGGTGAATTACTAGCACTTCAGAGTTCAAAAAACAGGGAAGAGGTCTATTTTAGCACTTACAGCGAGAACCAACTTCGCTTTGACAATCATTTTGTTATACTTTCTAAGCGCTTGGTGTTTTTTTAAAGGTAAATAAGGACAATGGACTAGGAATTTGTTAAAAAGGATCCAGGAGAACACACACTTCCAGCCCTGCTGACAAATCTCTAAGGTTTATTACTTCAAGTTGTGTCCAGATAAAAACATTTGTATTGTTCATATTGAATAAGTATGCTGTCTGTAGGTTAATAATAATCTGTAAACATCATACATTTATAGAGAACATCAAGAATATGCTTACCTGCTGCTATTAATTAATTCCATAATGGTAGGTCATACCATATCTTCAGATGAGATTGATTGGTAACATAACCCATAAGAAAACCAAACCAGTTCATCACTGAATAAATTAATTTTCTCCTGCTTACAGTTTTTCATTTCACTTTTTAGAAGCTTCCAAAGTTTTTACCACCATAAAAGAAAATTAAGCACTGTTTTCCTAACCTATATAGAGTCTGGTCTTTCCAGAAATCTTGGCAGAATAAGGAATAATGTCTCATAGACATGTTGTTTCACTCAGGTCCTCTTTCGTAATAGGCTTGTATTTTGGACAGTCAAACAGTGGGGAAATGGGGTAACTAAACTTCCTCTATCTGTGCAAAAGTTTTTCTGGATAAAATACTGGCAATTTTAAAATCAGTGAATAGAGTCAGCCTTAGTCTCCAAATGACATAAACTTTGTCTGTCCTCTTAATCCACTCCAACCCACACTGTAATCCATTTTTCTGCAAAGAAAGTAATCTTATCTAAATCCTTTATTCCCCATATAATGAGAACTTCTTAGACTTCTTGATTTCTTACTTACCACTCTTCCCCTTTCAACTTACTATCTTCAACAGGACCCGACTTTCTTGGATTTTCTCTTATTGTTCTTTCATTATCTCCTTTGATAAGTTCTTATTTTTCCATTTCTCTTTCTCCAAGGACATAAACATGTTCAGAGGCACTAGCATTCCTGAACCTTTGGCTGCAATTGTATGTGTGGATGATTTCTGACTCTAGAAGTTCCCTTTCTCCAAGCAGTCTTATGACTGCTCCATGTCTTTAAATCCTTGCTTATTCTGAAATCTCCCTTTCTTACTGTTTCCAGAGCTACCTGGTTTTCACCCTCTCCTGTCCTAGTTAATTTTGTATTCAACCTCGCTAGTCTTTTCGTTTTCTCTTTTTTCTCTTTTCTCTTTTCTTTTTAAAATATTGCAATGCAATCTATTATCTTCTTCCAGTAATCTTCAGCAGGTAAATAATTTCTTCTTTCTCTTGTTTTCTTTTCAATTCTCAAGTCCACTTCAAACTCCTCATTAATGTTTGCAGAGACCCTATCCCCATCTTTAGTCATGTTTCATCTCACACTTTTCTTTTTTCAACTTCTCCCATTGCAGTTCCCAGCAGAGAAGGACTTGACCAAGACTTCTTTATCTTTCTTACTTTGTGAACACAAGCATTCTAACACATTTTCCAGTGCAGGGAACAGCTTACTCTTACCAGACTCCTCATTCTCTCCTCTCATTCAAGTTATTATTTTTTTTTTCTTTAAGGATCATTTATTTCTTCTGGGCCAGCAGTCTATCAATTCTGTCTTCCCTGGGTTACTGTCTTAGGATTTTTTGTCTCTCTTTATTTTATTACATTTTGAAAATAGTATTATAATTCTTTCAACAACAGCAAGTTTCTGTGCCATCTTATTATTAGGACAAATACGTAATGCCAGTATATTAATACACATGTCAAAATAAATGCATTTTGGAAAGGCTATATTCAAATCTCATCCAAATTTGCCAATAATTTCTTTTTCCTTTAAAAAATATTTTTCTGTGATGGCTGACCGATAAATTTTTTCTCTTGCTGAAAATTGTCTATGTGTGTTTCCTCAGTTTATTGAAGAAAATATTAAAAGCTGTTTTGATTGTGATCTATAAATGGATATAGGTATTTTAATGAGTGAGTTCTTCAGACTATCAGATATGGTGGTGTTCAACATCTAGAAGCTTAATATATACAAATTAAGATGGGAAGTAAGATTCAGTCTTTTAAGAGTGAGAGTAACTAGCCTTTGGAATAACCTTAATCGGTATATAATGAATACTTCTCTATTTTAAGCCTCTCAATCAACATTGGATATGTTACCGAAATGTACATAGCCCAGTTCAGGCAGAAGTTCTGAATTTAATGCTGGGATTTCTGGATGAGTTTCCGCAACTGACCAGTCAAGATGACTGTTATCCTTAAAGTCTATGGGCAAAGGTCTAGTCCCTTTCAAGTAAACGAAAATATTCTTGATTTCAGTGGGGTCAAGTGTTTATGTATGAAAAATAGAACGAACCATGGGCAGATAACACTCAGATCTTCCTCTGCTCTTTGGTCCTCATGGGGCTGTGGTGGATCCCACATGCCAAAATATGCTAAGACAACTTCACTCCACAACAATCTCTCATGGTTCTTACTAGCTCTGGTTTATCAAGTATAGTAATGACTGCAAATGTTTTAAGTTGCATACCCTATATTCTTGCTTAGCAGAATAGGAATAGGGTTTGATACATGTTTTAAGATAAGCAAGAACTTTACAGAGCTGAGGTAAAACATATTGCACTCTCAGCTGGTTAACAAGGTGTTTATTTTCTTGTTAATAAAGGAGAGGAGAGGCTATTTTTATTTTGTTTGTCAGGTTAGATTTCCTGAGAGGTTACACCATGTGAAAGAAACTATCCAACTCTCATCTGCAGCAGAATTTAATGCAGTATGCTTCTTCCCATGAGGC